CGAGCAACAAAGTTATTCAATATGTGGAGATGGATAATACTAAATTATACAGAATTTCACTCCAAAAGATATGACATCAGAAGAATAAACTGATTTCCCCTCGTTGTCTCCTACTTCCTCTGCACAGCGAAGGGGTGAGGAAGGTCACACTCTCCGCTAAACATTAAACATATCTGAAAATATACATATCCAAATTCTGATTTCTACTCTCCTCTCTTAACATGAGTTCCAATCCCTACTTCTACTTCTCACTATTTGGGCCTCTCTTCTTAAACTGTTTTTTCTTTATCCCCCTCTCCACCTCACAATATATATATTTCGCCCTCTCTCCTGCCCGCCCCTCTCCCTACTACTGCACTCATCATCTCCTGCTCATTCTGAATCCACATGCAAGGGTTACCTCCAGGACACTGAGGCATGTTCACCCATATAAAACGCCCTCTCATCTCACTTCACTCACCCTTCTGCTTCTCCTGACTTCTGGGGATATCTCTCCCAATCCCGGCCCTCTCTTTTCTAATAGTCACCCTCCTAACCAGCACTACCTTTCCTCTGGCAGCAGCTTTCATCCACGCAACCTGATTTCTATTCCCCTGCTTCCTACAATCAGTCCCTCTTTCTCATGTTAAGGACTCTGCCTTCCCCAGTGGCGGAACTACCGCCGGTGCAGGCGGTGCGGACGCACCAGGGCCTTGGGGCTCTAGGGGGCCCAGCGCCGGATCGGTATGGGGGGGGAGGGGGCCCCAAAAAAAATCTTGCACCAGGGCCCTTTGTTCCTTAGCTCCGCCACTGGCCTTCCCTGCTGCCCTCTCCCATGGTGGCCTCCACTGGACACACTCACCCAGACCCAATGGACGGAAAGGAGGTGGAGTGGGTTTCCTTCTATCCCCACAATGCACTTTTCAAATTCTGCCTCCACCTCCCTCTCTATCCCTCTCCTCTTTTGAAACTCACCGTATTTGCCTATTCTCTACAATTTCTTTGAGGATTGCTGTTATATACCGGCCACCCGGACCAGTGTCTCGCTTTCTGGATGACTTCTCTGCCTGGCTACCCAACCTTCTCTCCTCAGAAATGCCCACCATCATCCTTGGTGACTTTAACATTGCTACTAACATTAACTCCCCGGCTTCCACTCAATTTCTCAACCTAACCTCTTCTTTTGACATAACTCAATGGACACAGACTCCTACTCACTCTGATGGTAACATACTTGATCTTGTTTTCTCCCCCCTATGCACTGCTTGCAACCTCTCCAGCCCCCCTTTCCCCCTCTCAGACCACAACCTGGTCAGTTTCACAATCACCCTGTCCCCAACACGGACTCCCCCTACACGTCACACTGTCACCCGGAGAAACCTCCGCCACCTCGACCCTTCTCTTCTCTACTCTGCTACTGACTCCCTCTATGACAAGATCTCACCCCTGTCCTGCCCTGACCTGGCTACTTCTGTTTTTAACAGCTCGCTCTCATCCTCTCTAGACACTTTGGCCCCCCTCACTACACGCAGACGTAGACCACGTCCGCTACAACCGTGGCAAACTGAAGAAACAAGACATCTAAAAAGACATAGTCGCACTCTTGAGCGACTGTGGCGGAAAAATAGATCTCTGCAAGACTTCACCCTGTACAAAGCCGCCCTCCTAAAATATCAGTCTTCCCTCCGTGCTGCCAAACAAGCTTATTTTGTCACTCTTATTACACTCTCGTCCAGACCTCGTCAACTCTTTTCTACCTTCAAGTCTCTACTATGTCCTCCACCGCCACCACCCACTAACTCACCCACTGCCCAGGACATTGCCATTCATTTCAAAAACAAAATAGACACAATTCGTGATCAGATCGCCACTGTCCAATCAACTTCCCCTTTTATTATAGTACCTGATCCTCCATCACACTTGTCACTCTCCTCTTTTGACCCTGTCACCAGAGAGGAGGTTACAAAGCTTCTCTCTGACACCCACCTCACCACTTGCCCCCCTAGACCCTGTTCCCTCAAAATTACTTCGGTCACCCTCTTGCTCTATCCTACACTCTCTTACTCACATTTTCAATCTTTCACTCTCTACTGGAATCTTTCCTACCCCACTCAAACATGCACTAGTCACCCCAATACCCAAAAAACCTTCACTGGACCCTACCAACCTCAATAATTTCAGACCTATCTCCTTACTCCCATTCACCTCTAAACTACTAGAACGCCTTATCTACAACCACCTGAGTTGCCACCTCGCTAATAACAACCCTTTGGACCCCTTTCAGTCCGACTTTCGCCCCAAACACTCCACTGAAACCGCCCTCCTAAATCTCACCAATGACACACTATTCCTTACACTTGCTATTAGACCTCTCTGCTGCTTTTGACACTGATCTGCCTGGCTACCCAACCTTCTCTCCTCAGAAATGCCCACCATCATCCTTGGTGACTTTAACATTGCTACTAACATTAACTCCCCGGCTTCCACTCAATTTCTCAACCTAACCTCTTCTTTTGACATAACTCAATGGACACAGACTCCTACTCACTCTGATGGTAACATACTTGATCTTGTTTTCTCCCCCCTATGCACTGCTTGCAACCTCTCCAGCCCCCCTTTCCCCCTCTCAGACCACAACCTGGTCAGTTTCACAATCACCCTGTCCCCAACACGGACTCCCCCTACACGTCACACTGTCACCCGGAGAAACCTCCGCCACCTCGACCCTTCTCTTCTCTACTCTGCTACTGACTCCCTCTATGACAAGATCTCACCCCTGTCCTGCCCTGACCTGGCTACTTCTGTTTTTAACAGCTCGCTCTCATCCTCTCTAGACACTTTGGCCCCCCTCACTACACGCAGACGTAGACCACGTCCGCTACAACCGTGGCAAACTGAAGAAACAAGACATCTAAAAAGACATAGTCGCACTCTTGAGCGACTGTGGCGGAAAAATAGATCTCTGCAAGACTTCACCCTGTACAAAGCCGCCCTCCTAAAATATCAGTCTTCCCTCCGTGCTGCCAAACAAGCTTATTTTGTCACTCTTATTACACTCTCGTCCAGACCTCGTCAACTCTTTTCTACCTTCAAGTCTCTACTATGTCCTCCACCGCCACCACCCACTAACTCACCCACTGCCCAGGACATTGCCATTCATTTCAAAAACAAAATAGACACAATTCGTGATCAGATCGCCACTGTCCAATCAACTTCCCCTTTTATTATAGTACCTGATCCTCCATCACACTTGTCACTCTCCTCTTTTGACCCTGTCACCAGAGAGGAGGTTACAAAGCTTCTCTCTGACACCCACCTCACCACTTGCCCCCCTAGACCCTGTTCCCTCAAAATTACTTCGGTCACCCTCTTGCTCTATCCTACACTCTCTTACTCACATTTTCAATCTTTCACTCTCTACTGGAATCTTTCCTACCCCACTCAAACATGCACTAGTCACCCCAATACCCAAAAAACCTTCACTGGACCCTACCAACCTCAATAATTTCAGACCTATCTCCTTACTCCCATTGACCTCTAAACTACTAGAACGCCTTATCTACAACCACCTGAGTTGCCACCTCGCTAATAACAACCCTTTGGACCCCTTTCAGTCCGACTTTCGCCCCAAACACTCCACTGAAACCGCCCTCCTAAATCTCACCAATGACACACTATTCCTTACACTTGCTATTAGACCTCTCTGCTGCTTTTGACACTGATGACCACCTGCTTCTCCTCAAAAAGTTGAGATTGATAACACAAGTATCCAAACCTCCCCTCTTGCCAAGGTCCTAGGTGTCATCCTTGACTCGGACCTCACCTTTCTTCCCCACATCCAATCGAGCGTTTTAGCAGTAATTCGGATGCATCTGAATCTCCGAATTTCCTTCCGAATGGAGACATCATTCAGGTCCCCTTTATGGAGACATCAGGGGTCTCTAAGCCCCCTAATGTTACTTAGGGACCCCCAGAGAAGCTGATGAAGCACGGATGTGCTTCATCAGCTTCTCTCCGGTTTCTGTACCGGACAGTGACAGAGGAATGCGGAAGTGATGTAATATACATCACTTCCTACATTCAGAGACCGGGAGGAGAGAGGAGGGAGATTGTGTACTGATCTCCCTCTGTTCTCAGTGCACAGAGCCACATCGCCCCGGGATGGATGGATGCACGAGATCGCGGGGACGTTGGCGGCGGGGAGAACAATGGCGAGAAGAGGTAAGGAGGGGGGGTAGACGCACCCTCACTTGCATCATACAAGAGATCACTTGCATGTAAACGGCCATCGCTGGCCATTTAAAATCCTGGTGGTTTCCCGCTCGAGCGCGCCAGGGGGCGCGTGGGCGCGAAGGACGTCTAAAGACGCCCACCCGCATCCAGGAGACTCCCGTCCGGCCGTCTTTCAACGTTCGGCGGATGGGAGGTGGTTAATACAACATATAGAGTTATATATGGAGTTTATTCTTCTTTCAGCTTGGATCTTGGCTCGCTCATCTATAGGAAGGATTCGGGTTACATACTGTAGCTGCTTACATAGATACATTGTTTGTGTTTTACAACCCTCAGCCTGAGATAGTGATCCTCACAAGGCCGGCCTTAGGCCTTTAGGCGCCCTGTGCGAGAAAGCTTTACAGCGCCCCTCAGTGACCACACCCCTATGTGACCACACCCCTCAGTAACCACACCCATTTTTTTCTAATAAAGACTCCCATTTTGTTAAGCCCCCAAAGAAACATATTAAAAAGTGTGATAAAAATAAAACTTTTATTCAAAGCTATTAACCGCTTGAAGACCAGGTGTTTAGACCCCCTTCCTGGCCAGGCCATTTTTCAGTGAGTGCGGCAGGCGTGTTGGCCACCGGCGTGTTCTTTGAATGCGTGCCACCATCTTGGAGGCAGGGAGCATGACGTTACATGACGTCTAACATACGTGACGTCAGGTGATGTCACACGCCGATATATGCTGCGCCATTTTGGTGTATACCTAGATAAACACCAAGATGGCGGCGCCCAACACGTGCGGTGTTATATGACGTCATGCTCCCTGCCTCCAGAACACGCCAATGGCTGAATCCAAAATAGCATAAAAATGTGTTTTGTTTGATGAAATGAATGAAAACGTTTTTAGTTTTCGTTAATTTCATGTGAAATTAATTTTTAGTCTTTGCACTAATGTCTAATAATAGGTGTGGGGGGAGGGGGGGTAATTTTCACTTTTTTAAAATAATGTTGTACATTTTTTAAAATTTTTGTATTATTTTGTATTTTCTTTTTTTTAATGTTTTTTTTTTTACTGTTGGGGGGGCATCGGGGAAATATTGGGGGTCTAAACAGACCCCTGACATTTACCTTTTAAAATAGAAAAGAAATTGAGGACACCAAATCCTCAATTTCTTTTTCTGCAGCCTCAGCACTCAATGAATGGGAAGCACTCAGTACAGAGGCTTTCCATTCATTCAGACACTGATAGTAAATATCACCAGGTTCTGAATGGAGAGAGGCCTCTGTAGTGAGTGCTACTCCCCATTGAGAAATTCATGAATGAACAGGAAGTGATGTAAATCACATCCTGTTTATTCATAACTGGGGACACATAGTACAGAGCCGCTGTTAGAACCGCTCGGCCGTCCTGAAAGCTGCGGCTTCTCTCCTCCTCACCGCTCGACCATCCTGAAAGCTGCGGCTTCTCTCCTCCTCACCGCTCGACCATCCTGAAAGCTGCGGCTTCTCTCCTCCTCACCTCTCGACCATCCTGAAAGCTGTGGCTTCTCTCCTCCTCACCTCTCGACCATCCTGAAAGCTGCGGCTTCTCTCCTCCTCCCCGCTCGACCATCCTGAAAGCTGTGGCTTCTCTCCTCCTCACCTCTCGACCATCCTGAAAGCTGTGGCTTCTCTCCTCCTCACCGCTCGACCATCCTGAAAGCTGCGGCTTCTCTCCTCCTCACCGCTCGACCATCCTGAAAGCTGCGGCTTCTCTCCTCCTCACCACAAAGGCTGGCCCTGGATCCTTACTCACTGCATACAAATATCTCCCCCTAGTAATAAATCATGCAAAAATACAATTTCCATGAAGACAATAGTCCGTGCAGCAAAACAGATCCTATGCAATGCAAAAACAACAGTAAATGTTTTCAAGGCAACCTCATGTAACATTGTGTGTATGTACCCGGCCCGTGCTCAGCTTATAAACATGGCCTGTGACACTGACCTCTGGGGGTTCTATATTACCAAACTGGGAATTAGGATGTTGAGTGAACAGCGCTGACTGCTCTTACACATACTGTAGGTGAATGTGAACAGTGAATGTGTTTTATAAATGCAGCAAATCTTTTGGCGTCTTAGCAGTGAAAATGCAACAAGTGATCAGTGACACTTACAGACATATACACCCCTATACCATCTGTGTGTCAGCAGGGCTGTCTTTAACGTGGGGCAAAAAGGGCAGTTGCCCCGGACTGAGTCATTATTATGGGGCAAAAAACAGCTGCACCTTCAGCCTGCAAAAGATATGCACATGCACCAAGGGTTGCCACCTATCTGCCTGCAACTTGTGTCTGCCGGGCACTTTTCTCTCCAATGCTCTGGGTTGTGGGCGGGCCCTCGCCATTCCTCATGTACAATGCAGGACTGCGCCACTGTATGTGATAATGTCAAAGTGCAATTGTAAGATGAAGAGAAGAATCTTCCAGGGACCTTATTCCTCTACCACTAGACTTGACAAAAATGTAACCCTTGAGGGTGGGGGAGGTGGGTGTTAGGGGGGTGGAGCTTTTTTTATCCCGGAGTTCAGCTTTAAGCCATATTAGACGATTTGGGTGCATTTTGTGTTGTGTTTCTTCATTTATATTATTATGGAAAATATTCTGCAATAGGACAGAATGGCTTTCTACTTCCCAAGAAAAACTTCTTACAGAATGACTCCCTCCCCCTCCCCAAGGTAATTAGGCAAAAGACATTATAGCTATAATACCTACCAGGTTCCCCGCTCTCAGTTCTGTGGAAATGTGAGGCGGGATGAAATATGAAAAGCAGATATCCTATAACTATACAACGGAGGCTGTACATGTGTCACTAGCTGCAAGACTCTGTACAGGTAAGGAGCTTCATAATACCTGTTGGTGTACATAAAGGGGGGGGGAGGGGGGTTACTGCTTGCTAGACCCTGGCACCAAGGGCACATGCCCTAGGCCTTCTGCTGGGTTCCCCGGGTCTTCTGCTGGGTTCCCCGGGTCTTCTGCTGGGTGTCCCAGGTCTTCCATTGAGTGCACCATGTCTAATGCTGAGTTCCAAAAGTCTTCTGCAGAGTGCCCCATGTCTAATGCTGAGTGCCCCATGTGTAATGCTAAATGTCTACGGTCTTCTGCTAAGTGCTTCATGTCTTATGCTGAGTGCCCCAGGTGTCCTTTCCAATAATGGTTGCCATTAAATATGATCCTGTAGATGAACATATTTCAGTCTTGGACATCCATTCCTTCCTCCATTAGTATCTGCATTTCCCCCTCACAATTCTTACATAGTTACATAGTTACATAGTTAGTCAGGTTGACACACAGGTCCATCGAGTTCAACCTATAGAGAGAAAAAAAAAAAAAAGATAAAAGCCTAAACAGAACACTATGCCCACAATTACCCCCTGTTGATCCAGAGGAAGGCAAAAAAACAAACCCTATAAAGCACGATTCAATTTGCTCCAACAGGGGGAAAAAAAATTCCTTCCTGATCCCATAATCAGATATTCTTTACCATTATGTGATGTAGAGAGTAATCTAGAGAGAATTCGGCATTTGTAATCTACTACTTGGCTTCTGCACAATGCATACTTCCATTTCCACTGAACAAATGAATGTCCATTGATTAATGATGACATATATTATATGCACGTTATGCTTTTGGAACATCGTTTTTAATCAATAATTTATTTAGGTCATATCATACAACTGATGTGAATGTGCAACTATGTAAAGCGCTGCGTACATTGTCGGCGCTAAATAAACACCTGTAATAAATAAAATGTTCAGTTATGTCATCTGATGTAAGAGGATTTGTTTTAATACGAGTGTATCAAAGGGGCAATGAGAAACAACATCACCTACTAGTTATCATGGTATATAGACCAAACCCTGCAGAACATTTTAGTCTGAGTGCCTGGCTGTGACCGAGATGTTTTAGGATTCTAGAAATGTTCCTGTCTATACGACAGAAGGTGCAATGAAATCTCCCCTATGGGACACGGAAGGCAAAAAAAATACAGGGATTTGAACCCTTCTCTATTCTATGCAAAACTAAAAAATAAAAGTTTTGTTTTAGATAAATTTCACTTTTTTATACTAGAAACCTCTCAACATTTCCTTCTAGTTCTCCGGGTGTTTTTGGACCCCAGAAATGCCCCCTTTGTACCGTGTATGATGAATAAGAGGCTTTGCTTTTCAGACAATGATCCTGGCTGCCCCCCAATAAGTAGACAGGAAATGTAATCCTCTGAGATCTTACAAATGTGTTTTCTTGCAGGCTCAGGAACAAGAACTTGGAACCGAGTGAACAGCAGCACCTGCGATCCAAGGGAAGAGTGACTGGCACTTTACAGGCTGTTGGCATCTATAGAGTGAGTGACACCCACTACTTACACAGGATGGCATAATGATCTTTCCTCAATCATAAGAAAAAATGGCACCTTTTATATATTGACTTTATAGTAATGTTTATTTGTTTGTATTAATCCCCTAATTGCCTTTTCACACTATTACATTGAAGTAATGCCCATGTAACACGCAAAAAGATATGTTACATGTGTAGCGCCCTCTAAAATGTCGCTATTCAATTTAGAGATACCTGGACTGTAACCAGTCTAGATACTGATTATACAGAGCTCTGCATTCTATAGGTGTCCCTGAGTCTGCTGGATTGATTGCTCCTCCTGTTGCTGAGGAAAAGGGAGCCTTGGTATACAGTGAGGGAGGATCCACCCTCAGGTTATGACTATGCACCTGGCCCTAGAAGTTTACAACTGCTATTAGCAGGCTCTGGCTTAAGAGACATCTTGGTAATGGGGGTTTAATGACACCGGACCTGTCTGTAGTTTCCTCTCCCTCACAGACATAACATTTCTGATTATTTTCTTGCTGACGTGCACATTTTGGAGATATTAGGGTGGCACTGTACTGAGTTTGACTTCCCCATTATTAGCACATAGTTTGGGGGTTTTCAGACCTCAAAACTATCACAGAACCCCTATGGATAGAATGATCCAGTAGCTGGGTACAAACAGCTAGAAAGTCCGTAGTGGAGTGAAGGACTCGGTCCTGTCAGATGGAGCTGAAATAGACTCTACATAGAAAGACCCGATCATGATAGAGGTTCTATGTTACAAGGGTCAGTTCTATCTGGGCATACTGGGCAAATTCCCCCAGAACCATTAGGGGAGTATGGGCTGAGGGCACCTGTAACAAAAAGGACTGTCCTCTGTGTGTCTCTGAGAAGAAATGTTGTGTCATGTTGTGGTCATCAAATAGGCCCAATGTGAGACAAGGTCTCCAATACTCAGAAGCTGGTGCTGATAAGTGTTTCAGGCAGCCAGAGGTGACCGAGTCACTATAGATAGGCAGTGGAATGGATCCAAAGACCAGAGATCCACTTGGTGCTGCAGGAGCTGCAGCGGTATGCTGCTTCCTTTAGACTGAATGGTGAGAGAGAGAATGTGGAGCACTCAAATCAGTGAATGATGTCAGTGCTCAATCTCTCAGATTTTGTACAGTGAGGTAGCTCCCGAGGCTTCAGTCCATCTGACCTTATTCACTAAATGAGCCTTCAGAGACAGGATTACACTGTGCCACAGCTCTGTACCAGGAAAGTGCTTAGCTGCTAACTAACATGTTACAGAAAGGGTCATGCTAGCCTTGCCGCCACATCTAGAAGCATGCTCACTACATGAGTCTTCAGAGAATTGGTCACACTAGAGGCTGTGCCACAGCTCTGGACCTGGAGAGCTCTCTATAGCTAGCACAGTACACAGTGGTCTGGAAACATCAGAATGCAGAAAGGTCACATTCCAGACTGGCCCTGCAATCTTCCAGTCCAGCGGGGTCCAGATATGGCCTCTAAAGCTTTATAATATTGCCTCTAGGCTCTTCAACCAATTGGCTAAATAAACATGTGCAGAGCAGTGAAGCTGATCCAAGTCACCACTAGCCCTAATTTGTCCCATTGCCCTGTAACCAGAAATCCCATGATAGATCCATTGGCAAAAACATTAAGAAACTGGAGAGATCACTGGATAAGGACAGCAGGTGGGTGGAGGCCAGGTTCCAGAGATAGGTAGCTGAACCATGCAAGGAACAGAAATTTTATTTGGGTTAAAACAAATGATTGCACTTACAGAATTCCATATGGATAAAACAGCATGTGAGTGTAAGGGACACCCAGGAGTATTTTTTTGTCCAGTAAATGGAAGTAATGGCCTAAGTAGAAGAACAGAAGGGGTCATCAGTCATAGACACCAAGAATGTTAAATAGCGGGTAGAGTAAATAGACAGATATTCAGACCAAAGAGACAGATTACTGATTTCAAAAAAAAAAAGAAAAAAGAGAGATTGCAAGGGGTGCAGAAGTTGGAGAATACCAGGACAAGGGTGTTTCCATCAGAGTGAGAAGGAGTTTGTGTCCATTGCATTTGGTCAAAAGAAGAAGTTAGGTTGAGGAGGTGAGAGGTAGCTGTGGTGCATTAAGAGGGCTGTTAAAGTAATTGAGGATGATGGTGGGTACAGTATTTCGGAAGAGAGAAAATAGGGAAGCCAGGCAGAAAAGTCATCAAGAAAGTGTGATACTGGTCCAGGGGGCGATAAATCACAGCAATCCTCAGAGAACACTGGAGAAAATACACAACTACAGTGACCAGTCACCATGTACAGTACAGGATGTCCACTCTGGTCTAGTACAGGATGATGTAGCAGTGCTCACCCACATTCCGGCACTGGAGAGAAGAGGACAAGTACATTGGCAGTGGTGGGACCACAGGCTAAGGATAGTATTACTCTGTGTTATCTTATCCCCTAGACCAGCCGTCACTAAAGCTCTGTTCACACCTAGGCGTATCGAATATGCGCGTTTGTCAACGCGCGTTTTTACAGCGATTCGCGGTTTAAAAAAAATCAACAAACACGCATTTCCGAGGGCTACTTGGCTGCATCCCAATGAAAACGCCGCAAAGAAGCTGATGTACCTTTTGTAGCGCGTTCAGACGGGCTGAAATACGGCAAGGTGTGTCACCATACCCATAGAATACAATGGGATTTTCATGTTTGAGCGTTTTGTAGAGCGTTCGTAGAGCGTTGAACGCGCTACAAAACGTACAGGTGTGAACCAGGCCTAAATGGCAGACCGCAGTCAAGACACCGACCGAATTAGCACTGTGTCTAAGAGCACGCACCAGCATCTGTGCATTGCAGTGGATCGGCTGGTGTGAATGCAGCTAAAATGGTGGATTGAGGTTCAGACACAAACTGAGTGACTGTTCTGTCCGGACTGAGATTCCAACCTCAGCTTGAGAAAAATGTTATGTACCTGACCTCCTTGAATTTTCATTCACTACCCCTGCCCTAGACAAAAGGAGCAATACATCCTTTATCAGCTGGGGAAGGGGGGAGGGCATTTCACAACTTCCTGGAGTTTTTCTTTAATCATTGTGTGTTTGATTATTGCTTAATCTGTTCATTACCCTATTGATTGGTTCATTAAGCAGGTGAATGTATTTCTGTATTATGTCACTGTCTGAGTATGGTAATGGGATCTCTGTGTCCTCAGGTCCCATCCAGAATGATGAAGGCTCTGGAGACTTTGCTTTTGCTGGGATGGTTGGGTCTGGTTGGGTGCTGCAGCCCTGAACCTGGAGGTAAGAATTTGTGAATTCAGAGCTTTGTGTATCAGCTCGCTGTATATTAGAGGAAGCTGCTGCAATCTACAAAGTTCTGATACCCCCTAATATCAGAAATATATGTAACTGTATAAGGGGGGATGAGGAGATTTCTGCACTCACCTATCACAGTGTATTGGGTCAGTTGCTGTAACAAGTTGCAATGGATACAAAGTTACAATGTGAAATACAGCTGCGTTTTCCTTTCAGACTCAGAGCCGTCCATTGTGATCCCCATTGTAGAGGGATCAGGATACTGCACGGCTGGAACAGAGGTGTTTGCCTATCAGCCTGTTCCTGGTTTATTGTCCATCTGTAGGACATTCTAGTCCAATATATTTATTGACTCAATCCATGGGATCTGTCAGGGAGGTTGTCTGTAATGTCAGGCATGGCTGGCACAGTGTTCCAATCCATAGGAAACTAACACTGGCAGGAAAGCCATCCATGTGCATTTAGGTGTTCAGTAGGGATGAGCTACAGTCTGGACTGAACCTGAGTTGTTTTTTTACCAAAAGTCTTACTTTTGCCCCTTCATAGTTCCTTCGATTCATTTTTGTATTACTATTGAGTAGGACATGGGACAAGAATACATTCTATTTTATTCCATGATTTACATAGCAAGTATAGAACAAGCAGGCAGGAAGGAGGTAACTGGAGCTGATATAGAGGAGAGAGCTGAGAGTCATCGCCCACCTGAGGAGGCAGAGTGTCCACTCCTTAAAACAAGTTGACTGACAGCCAAGAAGACCCGAGCGAAACACTATGGACTGAACCTGAGCTCATGCATTTGTCAATAACCAAACAAGGCCATGTGACCATATAAGTTCAATGATATCACCAGCATCCCGCCCCTTTGTTTACATGCAGCTGTGGGTGGGGAATGCCCTGGCTAAAGCCGATTGGATCAGCACCGACAGCTTTCTTCCAGGGCTCCAATAAGCTTGAGTTTGCTCCAAACCTGAGCTCATCCCTACTGAACACCTGAATGTGCATGAGCGGCTTTTCTGCCTCAGACCTTGCACCTTGCTGGCCACCAGCATGAGGATCTTATCGACTGGAACTTTATACCTGTTATTACAGACAGCTTCCCTTCACCGACAAATCCTAGGGATAGAACCAAGAAAAACACTGGACTGATAGCCAAACAGCGCTGTTCAACTCTACACCACCCCCTATTATAATTCAACTCTACACCACCCCCTATGTTAATTCAACTCTATACCACCCCCTATTATAATTCAACTCTACACCACCCCCTATGTTAATTCAACTCTATACCACCCCCTATTATAATTCAACTCTACACCACCCCCTATG